TCTAGGAATCATTGATTTCTATGAGAAATGTTTGTTTTTTATTTGTGAATGGCAATTATAATCCGAATTATTCAGAATTATTACATGAGCAACAAGTTAAATAATTAGTATTGAAATCAATTAGGCCCAAGAAGCATTAGATATTTTGCAATATATACATGAAGCATCCATTTCACAATGCTCTTGACACGTTTTTTTACACTTCCCACATATAGTTTTTGATTTTCTGTCTTTTTCTCTTGAGTACATGTAACATTTCCTTTATTATATATTTTTTTTCTTTTTTTGCGGTTCATCAAATCATTTTCTGTAAGAAATTGGCCAAATCATAACTAGTATACCAAGTGTCTGTAGGAAAGTTTCTTCCAGATTTGTATAATGGAGCTAGGATGCGCTTTCCTATTTCACTAGAACTGAAGACTTTCTTGTACGGCCCGCTGCTGACATGCGTAAATTTCCATGTTGAAAGTATAAAAGATTCTAAAATCAACCATAGCAAATATCTTTATACCATATGTTGCAGGTTTCTTAGGCATATACTGCCGAAAAGAGCATCGTCCTACGAAAAGGTTCTAGCTTTTCGTTCCAAAGTCATGTATTCCCCTACATGATAATTTCTGACAATTCTTGACAAAAGTTTGAAATAAATCTCTTATTGGAGCTAATTTTTATCCTTTCCTATAAAATAGTTTGATCACAGGAAATGTCTTCTGAAGAGTCGCACTCTTCTTCTGATTCAGACTCATGATCACTAAATAAGTCTTCATTATCTGAATCTTCTAATTCTTCTTCTATAGAATCTTCATCTGACGAAACCCCCTCTAATAATTTTTGAAGTCTTTTCCTTTCTTGATCATATATCAAATGAGGAAAAGACCGAACAGAGCAACTTGCACACGCCATGGCTCACACTAAAAAATAGTAACAGGAAAGCGCGCGTGGGGTGTCGACACACCCCAAACTATTATTTAAACAACAATAAATGCTCGGAATTTTCCTCTCGAGACGTATAGAACATGACTTTGAAGGCAGCTACTGATGGACCTAATCATTTCGGATTATAGGAGGAGATTGCCAGCGAATTTGTTTGAGTGTGGGGTACGCGCGTCTTCCCGGGTTAATACTCTTCCCACTATTATAAGAACACTTCAGAAAAACTGTAACAAAGGAACTAAAAAGTTAAATGCTTGAAAGGCAACTAGAAGTTGTGAATATCTAAAAAATGTACAATATTAAAAGAAATGTGTGTTGAAGGCTAAATGATGGGATCACAGTTTGACAAATTTTCCTATGAATTTGTTTCTATAGCTTTGTAGATCATAGGATATATCAATGATCTGTTCTTATCAACATAGAATATATTGCAACCAGTATCATTATAATATTAAATTTATTGTTAGACATTTTTTATAGAAAATAACATCAGCAACAGAAAGAAACAATATTCTAGACAAATAAAAGAAAGCATGAAGGGACAAATTATTTAAAATTTAAATATGAGTTAAAAAATTTAACAAGCAAATATGAGGCACATCCAGAAAATAATCACACTGATAACAGATGGAAAGCCATGCCTGTCAGTTTCAGGATGTGACTTTATGACTGACAGTTTCCATTTTCTGATCAGTCCTAGCAACTCAAAAATGTTGGCCAATATTATTATTATTTTGGCTATTAATTGTGAGGTTAGGTTCATAAAATTTCTGAATGCATAGAAAGTAGCATCGATCTGAATTCTCAATCAGTTATGTTATATGGGCCTAATATCATGAGCATATATACAAAGTGTGCTGTTGGCGCAGACAATTTTCCAAAGGTTGCCCAAATGGCCATGATGAGGAAAGCACTAGGCAGCTGACCTTGTATGCATCACATTTTGCAAAACCATTACTTTGCAATGATGGAACTTGGCAACAATTTTCTTCAAGCATCTTGTTGTTTTAAATTGTTACAATATACAATACCTCTTGTTCTTCTATACAATACCTTGTTGTTAATACCTCTTGTTCTGAAAACTGTGTTCCATGCGAGTGCAAAATTACTTGTTACCTGAATAGAAGAATAAACACATGAGATCAGCATTGGCTTTTCTGCAGCAGTACTTACAGTGATGAAGTTTTCAATTGGATGATCATTGGCAATGACACATGGGTTTGCTCACTTTGTCCCAGAAGTCAAGCAGAATCAGTACATTGGCTTTCACAATGGATCTCCGTGCAAGACAAAATTTAAACAGACTCCATCTGTGTGAAAATAGATATGCATGGTATTCTGAGACACAAAGAACATTTTGCTTATTTAATTATTGGCCAGATATGAAATAACACTGATCATTACTATCAAACACCGGAAGTTGCAACAGGCCACATAGAAAAACAAATGCAAGATGCTCAGTGCAGGTGTTGTGTTGATCCATAATAAATAATGTCTTCCTTCATATGGCTAATCAAACAAGATATCTTTAGCAAGGATTATGCTGGGAGATGTTTCACTAGCTGTCCTATATCCTCATGCCCAGTGATTTCTTCTTTTCTAACACCTCAAGAAATTGCTATCCAGTTAGCATTTTTAAAGTGATGTAGAGGTGCAGATGGTTGATTTTGAGATCATGCAAGAGAATTCTACAACACAGAAATGCAAACGTTGATTCCACAGTGAGACAAGTGTCTTAATTCTGATGGTGAAGATGTTGAAAAATAGCTCAACAATGCTGAATTTGTTACAATAAATGGTTCTTCGATTTTTTTTTTGTTTGCTTCCTATAGAAACTTATTTTTTGAATTCATTTCATACATTGAAAAGAAAGAGTGAATACAAATAAATTTTTTTGGAAACAATTATAGTTATATGGGAAATGACTACAGTAGAGCAATTCAGACTCCTGAAGACTGTCCCTAAAGTACTGGTTTTTATACATTTTTTACAGAGGAGGACAATGTGGACCCCTTCTCAAAAACAAATATGTTAAAATGAGACACACTTGCATATATACACTAATTAAGATATAAGAAAAAAAAATCAACAAAATTTTTTGAGTTGGTATGTTGAACTGTGGTATTGAATACATACACTCATTAACTCTACCAGAAACATGCTTGTTAAGCATCACTTATTGTAGAGAAAGAGTAAAAAGACCTATTGTAAAAAATTTCCTTATGTAATGTCAAATGGTCATGTATTTACTAGATTAATTTTTGAGTATTATCATGTTTAAACATTTGCAACTTGGTGTATGAACTTTACTACATTAGATTCGAAGTAAATTTTGTGTTATTAATTGTCAAGATAATAGCTCAATGGATTGAACATGCACATGTGAAGTTTTCAAGTTAAACCAACTGTATGTGAACAATTTATAAGAAATCTTATCTGCTGAAAGAATTAACCCACGGTTTGTATTTAACATCTGTGGACTTGATTTTTCTGGTTCATTCCTCAGGTACAAAATCAGAGAAAGGATAGTTATGCAAAAGTGTATTTTGCTATATTTAGATGTTTAACTAAAGCAATACATTTAGGGGTGTAACTTATTTATCAACAGATGCAAACAATCTTGAGGCCTCATTTTTTAATCAGACATACCATTACTTCTTATCTGGAACCTGATCTGTCTCATCTTACAGATTATAGTTTTTTTAAATGGCAGATTATTACCAAGTTCATTCAAATTATTTGGAAAAGTTGGCAAAGTGATTATTTAAATCATCTTCAACAGCACACCAAAAAGTTTATTAATAAAGAATATTTAAATGAAGGTATATTGGTTGTGTTAAAGGAAGATAATTTTACACCATTTAAATGATCGTTAGTTAGAATTATAGAAGTTTTACCTGGTAAAGAGACAAAAACCAGAGTTATTACAGTGAAAACATATTATGGTGTATATATTCGATGTATTAGTAAAATTTTGTTTACTGCCACTCGAGGATAATTGCTTAGTTTTACATTATTGTGTTCTTATTAAAAACTGTGCTTCATATTGAAATGAAACTATTTTAAAACAGCAAGTAAGAGAGTACCATGGTGAATTGGTTTATGTTCTTGAAAAGGTTTATATTCTTTTTTATATATTTCAAATTATCTTTTTATTATTACAGGATGGAAAACTAAATATTAACTTTTGTATTTGAACTCTAGAATTAGTTGTTATGTATTGTATGTTTATAGTTTACATATTTCAATGGCGGCAGCATTAGTTAGAATACGTCATTACCTATTGTAGAGAGACAGAGAAAACTATCACTTAGCCAATGGATCTCGCAAAATAACATGCCAGAGCATATAGTAATACTTAATTAGTAATTACTGTTAATATAGTTGTTTGTATTCTTTTTATACAGTCCACTCATTTAGTTTAGAATTATACAACAATGCTTTACTATGAATCGAAACCTAGTTGTCTTGTTATCCTTATCTTGAATGGTAGTTTGAGATAATGTTCGAAAATGTAAAATAAATCTTAGTACAATCAGTGCTAAAATTTTCATGGTTTGTATTTCTAATTTAATACTAAATATTCTTATTTTCCCCCTTACATGTCAAATACTCATATTAAACCATCCATTCACCTAAAGTCCATTTATCCTAAATTAAGAAAGAGGAATAATTTGTAAATATAAAATGGTGCTGATTATCCTATTAAAAGGTAAAAATTAATGTCAAATATTTTTAAAAATAATTGGAATAAGTTATCATTAAAATAATTTTCATGGTTATTGAATAATATAAAAAAGTTTCAATAAAATACCAGTTCAGTTACTTTGAAAATATACTCATACAAATGAGCTGAGTCATAGGAGAACATTATTCAGAACATATATTGACATGATGAACATTTAAGTCCTAATATTGGTTGATTGGGAGATACTGATTCTAAAATAGTTTCAAAATGTAGGTAAAAATAGCAGTTGGTTCTATTCAACGCAGAACTAGTTAAAAAGACCTTTATAGATATAGATAGATATAATACACATTCAACATGAGAAAAGAAGAATGCGTAATTTTTTTTCTTCTGAAAATATCTTTATTCCTGTGCTAATACAGATTGAATTAATTTTAATTTTTTCCGACGCTTATGCCCTTTTATTTGTTGCTCCTCAATATCTTCTGCAAACAGACATTTTAGAGCTGGAATTAGTAATGGTAAAATGTACAGTTCATTTGGTGTAACCTAAAAAATAACAAATTTAATATTAAAAAAATGATCCAAAAGAAAGTGTACATAAAACATACTTATTTTTATGCAACTGCACAGTAAATGTACTACCATAAGAGACACATAAATTATCTAGCAGAAACAATGATGACAGGTAATTCAAACTGGTAAAACTGCATTATTTTTAGATGATGCATGCTCTTGAAAACAATAAAAAGCATTGATTTTAATCCAAAATGTTATAAATTAATTTATGATTGACAATCCATAAAATTATTTAAAAAAATTATCTACCATCCATATTACATTATTTATTACAGAAGGAAACAATATAGTTTAAACTTTTGAAATTTATGGTGCAATTAAAATTATGAATACTTTAAGTTCATGATCTTTTTATAAATATAATAATACATGTTATATATTTATAATATTATATTAACAAAATATATTTATAAGCTTATTTTTAAAATAAACAAATAAATAAGCCCACTGATTAACACTGGTAAAATGTAATTATCTTATATTGAAATAATTATACATTAATCTTCTGTAGAGGTAAACTCTTCTGAAGTTTACAGATTTTAAATATTCAGCTTGTGTTTATCAAAGGATTACATAGAAAAATGTTAGAAGATCAAAGCCTTAATGGTATATAACATTTTAAGCACATGCAATACTTTGAAAAAATGTGTGTCTCTCTGTAATTTTTACATAGTCTGCTTATAGTTTAGTAAGCTGCTGAGGTATTGCAGGATTTGCTGGTTTAAAGACTGAAGGGCATATATAAATTATTATTCTTGACCATTGCTAGTCAACTTCAAGTCACATGGAGCTTTTGTCATTTAGCTTTACAATTCTCATCATCAATGTACTACCATGGGAGAAGCAGAATTTACTCCTACTTGCTGGCCTTTCTTACTCTCATTTGCTCCTTCACTGCAGTTTTTGCACTTATCTACTGTCTTGGTTTTGACCTCTACATATCAGTAAAAATCTCCTGATGCCACTGTTCATGACACAGCAGATGAATGTACTTGTATTTTTTTATAATTCAAAAGCGCCAATTCTAGATTGCAGAGTATTATATCTTAAATCAAACTACTTTTATTCTGGCATTTAAACATACTTCTTGATTACTCTACTTGCTATTCCTTACATAGGTTTCCAAATAAGCATGATTTTTAGGCAATTGTTTTTGATGGTTTCAAGACTAGTTTAATTGCTTGTTACCAGTGTCCAAAAATTTCAAAAGTTGGCAAATGCTCACTGCTGATAAATACAATTTCAATTGTAAGCATCACACTTTGATTAACTTTCCAAGCTACTGACTAAACATTTCATGAGAATAGAATATTAAATGTACCTAAAAGAAAGAATTATTATTTTAAGAATTGGATAGATAAAGGCTTAGTTCCTTAAAAATTTTGAAATCAAATGGTGATCTATTCGGAGATTGATATATTTCACATAATAATGTGCATCAAGGTCGGTATCACTTAAAAATTAATATTATTCAGATAAAACCTGCAATAAACAAACAGTAAATATAGTTTATGTTCTATTAATATCTATATAATATACACATATTAAGATATCAGTCCTTGATTAGAATTTGCACAGATTTTTCTATAGAGTTGACAAACATATTTTTAAAGTCATGGACAATAAAATTAAAGTATCATAAAAATAAAACAGGAATTAAAGCATTTTTCATAGCCATTCACAAAAAGTACACACAGAAAGTATTCAAAAATAATAAATTACCAAGAAAAAGTACTAATTACCCTCATATTATCAAAAGCACATCCTATATAGCTATGAAATTTTTCACTAAATACAGGAACTTTAGCATATCGTTGACTGAAATGAGTTAACAAAGTATATTTAGACTTCATCATTTCACCAACTTGGATAGCTTGACTCGTTGTGCTGAAATAATGAAATAAATTCAAAATATACTATGATTTTTGAAACATTTCTTCCTTTTAAAAAATACATTTAATAAAATTATTTTCAAATAAATTCTTATAAAAATTTGTAAATATCACAATAATACTTTATAAAACCTAATTTTATATTGATTTGTTCTACATATTTTCTGCTAAATAATTTTTCTCCTTTGCTACAGTTAGCATATAACAGAATCTTGATTAGTTAGGTAATTAACAGGGGGTGATATTCATGATTCATCTGACAGCAGTTAGAAACAAAATCATAGATAAGAGGGAAACATCATATAATAATTAACCGAAAAATACTACTAAAAATTTACCTTTATTTTAAGAAATTTTAGTCAGAGATATACATAATTTGTTATGAACACTGGATCAACATTTAGAATAAGAAGTTGAGACAAATAGAAACAACCATGTTATAGCGTACATTAATCATGCATTTCAATAGCAGTCAATGAGGAAATAAAAATTTTTCCAACACTTCACAATTAAGGCAATCCATTTGGGAGTCAACCACATTCGGTTACTACAGTTATTAATTTTTACAATTTATCTTTATTAAAAAGTATTTTTTTACAACTAGCAAATGCAAAAATACATTAAAATTATGCTTAGTTGTAAGATATGTAATGTGAGCAAATTGCCTTTCTGCAACACAGATTCGTATTTTCAACAAAAGTACATATATACTTCATTATGTAACATATGGTTATATACATTTAATTACCTGATTAACATTATATTCAACTTATTTATTTATTTATTTCAGTCTAAATTATTCTCATTTTAAATTAAACATAAATAAAAATGTTTAAAATTAATCCACACCTACAGTACTGGATTTTTTTGTCACTAAATTACTGCAATACAAAATATAAAATAATTACTTTTGAATATATTCAACTTAATTAATCAAAAATAAAAGGTATTTTATAAATGTGCTTTTTTAACAGTTAATAATAGATTATACAAGTAACTTTGAAAAGTTTGTAAAAGGCTTATGAAATTTTTTCAATGTATATTACTTTATAAAATCAAATTATTTACAGCTAATATTATATTTCTGCAGTACTAGTTTAGATGAATTGATCCAAGTAAAAGGCTCTGCTTATTATCAGAAATAAGCATAATTCTGTTTTCTTTATGAAATGAATTATTTAAAATTATCATAATTTTTCTTCACAAATTACTTAATTATAACAGTATTTTCATTCAATTAATGCAAAAATCTTCTTCAATGACTTAACTCAAATAGTTTATTTTCATAATAAACTTTTCAAGAAATTTAAAGCCAAGATTTATGTATATACACAAAGTTTTTTTTAAAATAATGCAATAAACAAGGACGGCTGACAGAAGAAAATAAAACAAACAGTTTTCATCATAGAATGAATTGTCATAAGTGCAGTGATTATATGCTACAGGATGTATTCCATTTTAGCATATACATACAATTTGATTCAAGGGGAAAGCATAAAAGGCATGAAACATCAAGATAAAGATTGTGACTGATTAATGATGACAAACAAACATCAATAATTGCTTGATATGAAAGAATATAATTCAATTAGTACTGCAAAAAATTACAGAATATTACAAACAAAAGGTTCAAATGAAATCACTTGTACAGACAAGTACACTTATAAAATCAGTTTAAAATGGTGACAGTTACTCTTTATGCAAGCTTTGCATGGTTAATGCAAGAATTCCCATGTAGTCTGGAAAATGGAAGGCATATCACGAACTTCTGTGGGAATTACTGAAAACTTGATAACAAGATGCTCATGGGAGTCTTGTACATGAAGGATTTCAGACGTTCTCATGAAATTAAATCACCAGAGAAGACAGTTAAAATGAGCATGGGGGCTTAAAACACAGATCTCCATCAGAAAATAAATCCACTCGCATGAAAACATGGCATGTATGTAATACACATGTTGTGTTGGTATGCCATCATGTTGGAATCACATTTTCAGGTGGATGGGTGGCAGCAGATGCTGCAACAGTTCTGCTGTAACATTGAAGGAATATCAAGTAATTCATGCCAGCCCACCATTCGTGCCTGCGAAAACCTCTGCTTTTATGCGTGTGTCTTCTAATGCATAACTATATCATTGTGTAGTAAACATTGATTGCTTTGGTGTTTTCTACCAACCCTTAGCAAATATTGCACTAAGTTAGAAACACTCTGCATATTACTCTAAAAGATACTTTTATTTTTTACCTGTGCTTTTTCATAACAGCTTCATCTGCAAGTTCATCTTCCATTGTAGCTTCATGAATTAATAAAGAACAACCATCACCTGTAAAAGATAAACAATGATTTCACATCAATTACTTTTAGTTTCATCAAACAAAATAGAAAACTTTACTGGTTTACTCCAAATATCAGAAATACAGGATAAATCTGAAGAAAAATGGAATTTAAATTTCTTACACAGCACTTGACAGAAGACTTGTCTTGAGTCAAATAAAATCCTAAATTGATAAATAGTTATTCAAGCCCCACCTATTTATTAACATATTTAACAAATTGACAATGAGATCCATGCATACCTTTGAAAAGCTGTTAATTCATAATACATAGGACTTAATTTTTAAGAGAAGACTATCAATTTTAAGAACTTTTATATGTTGTAAAAACATTTATAAGATCAAAATTTTGTAATTTTGCAAAATCAAAATTTTATAAATGGTAATAGCATACTTGCCAACCTATGACACTCAAAAATCAGGAGTTTTTTTGAGATCAGGAGATTTGTCACAATGTTAAAAAGACTTTTTAAATGATAAAAATATAGTTTTCAATAATGAATTAACTTTAAATAGTTAATAATTCTTAAATGACAGCAACACAAAAATACCTTATACATAAAAAACATTTTTTTTACTTGCATCATTTAAGGGGGGGGGAAGAGACTTTAATCAGTTTTCATACAAATGTTATGAACAGTGGCAGATTTCGCTTTCGTTAAGAAAGAAACGTCATAATTTTGTTCATAGCAATTGCCACATAGGCCTGCTTTTGCTAATAAAAGTTTTTCTAATGTGTCATCACTAATATTCGATTTAATTTAGTCCTCATTTTCGAACACTGAAAAATCCTCTCACACTCTACATTACGACGGGGAACTGCCAAAATGGCCAACATAATTCTAGACAGTTCACTATATTTTAAAACTCCATCAGCACCTTTCAGTTTTCCAATTAAACTCCATTGGGTGTCAATCCTAGCCGATTTTATAACTTCATCCAAGTTTTCTAATTGTAAACTGCAAAATTGCGACTGCAATATATCATCATCTTTCATGACTAAATGAAGTAAAACAGGAAATCTGTTCAGAAAGTACTTATATCAGACAAAGATGCATTTGCTAGAGCATAAACATCAGCAGCTTTAGCATGCAAAATCATTTCATCGTTGATTGGAAATTTATATAGTATGTTATCATCACATACTCAATTGAAGTAACTTCTAACATGAAGATAAAACTTATTTTTGTCTTCTTCTGAAAGTTCTTTCACTACTTTTGTAGTTGCAGCTCCTATTACCAAATCTTCAACTTTCTTCTGATTTTCTATTTCACCATAAATCACATCATATATTAAATTACAAGACAAAACACAGACTGGTTTTAGAAACTTTGTTAAAATGTTTGTAAACAGATCATAAATCATTGATGGCAAAACACGAATTAATGGAATTCTGCTTTGTAGAACTGTGTTAAGAACATCGAATGATGGCAAAACGATTTGTAAAAAAAAAGCAAAATGCTTTGTTAAGGTCCGAAGAAAAAAACATAAATATTCGTTCTTCACAAGATAAACTTACAGTAATCGGAAAATGTTTCGTGTGTTGAGCAATTTTTTTATTTTGAGAACTGCCAGTTGAATTGCTGAACGGTGCAGAAGTTATTTTTCTCAAACCTATTTTTATAAATGGAAGTAGTAACTACATCTCCATTTACTTTAGGTATTTCATAACTTTCAATAGAGCCTTTTATCTTAACTCTCGAAGCATTTACTTTTTTTAAAAATGCAAGAAGTAGGTTCTATTGATTGAGGATTCTAGATAACCATTTCTTTAAAGACAGCCAGCATGTACACACATGTTTCAAAATTTTTCTCATTTCAGTATTATGCAGCTGTTGGAACTGTTTCAATTTTTCTTCCTTTTAGAACTCCTTTCAAGATAATAATAAATATCAACAATGTGTTCACATTTATTTGTAAAGAAGCTGCCCCTTTTTCAGCTGCTAAATTTAAAAAGTGGCAGGTGCACCTCATAATCTGCAAATCTGAAACATTTCCTTTCTTAAGATGCCTGCAACACCAGTCTTCAAGCCTAAATAATTAGCTGTGCTATATTAAAGCCTGTTCAATGTCCTTCTACAGTGGGGACAGAAAGTAAACTGCACTCAGTTTCTGAAGACTCTGGATTAAAAAAAAAAAATTGGATACAGTTTTTTGAATCGGTATTATTATTTCATCCCTAGAGAGGCAGAACGGAGCTGTTTTAATGCAATCAATAACTGAAGATTTATTTTTCAGATTAATTTCTTTAACAATTGCACTTGAGTATTTCTTAGCGATTTCACTATCGGGAAACATTTTTCTACATAAAACTGCAGCATGATTTGATGCATTCAGTGGCAGGTTGTGCTCCAGTAAAAAGGCAGAGAACAGACATTCTGCATTAATAACTCTTTGGTCCTTCGTTTTCGAAGAAAAATTCAATTTTTCGTTTTTTTTCAAAACAACTCATGTTGTCCTTGTGTACGCAAAACATTTGAGAACATCCCCCTTCCACCACGCGTAGGTACACATCGCAAATTTATTACATTTCCTCGAGGAAATAATGGAAGGAAAATCAACTGTGTACAATTTTTGAAACGTACACGAGTATTTCACCTTTCTCACAGACATAACAAAAGATGATAATTTCTAAAACTATTTCCCAAAGGCACGTGTATTCACACAACTCAGGACAAGATGAACGAAATAACTAAAGAACATCCAAATAACAGCCTTGAGCTTGCTTTGTACTCATTGGCTAATATATGCCAGATCCCACACAGTGGAGCTTGATATCCATTGGAGAACTGGAGAACGACGTTTCTGGATACGTATGCTCTCACTCACAAAGCAGAAAGTCTCATCTGATTCAAAAGGTTTTGTTTTAGATATAATTTAGAGAAAATTCAATTGCTTTTAGACGTCCAAAATCACTTTTTGTTTTGTTCATATAATGAAGTATTAAGCCAAATTCCATAAAATTCGTGAGAAATTTTAAGAACAAGAAAAAGTTGGGAGAAATATATTGCAAAACAGGTTGGCGGGAGAGCGGTCGAAAATCGGGAGAGTTGGCAACTCTGCAATAGTATTAAAAATAATAAATATGTTTGGGGGATCTACATGAAAATCTGTAAAAATGGATAATTCTTAAAGCCTATTTAGTTTAAAGAGAAAGCCCAATTATTTCAATATAATTATCCTTAAATGTTGATGAAAAAGTAGATTTTCTGTTGCTACATAAAAGATGTACTTTTCACTTAAGGTAAGTCAGAGCATAATAATTATCATTCTTAATTAAAAGTAATATTTTAATCAAATCTAGATACATATAACTTCAAATAAGTTCAATGCATACTGTTTTAGTTAAAAGGATGTGTAAATATTTTAATTCGTAATTATGTGGCTTATATATAACATCTGAGGACATAAAATTCTAAAACACTGTAATTAATAAAATATCTTGAAATTTTTGTGTTTATGATTGCCCTAGTTTTGTCACCTTCGATCTATCTGGTGCGGCAGTGAAATGGGCAATTTTGCAACCCTGGAAACAGCAATTTACATCAGGAATTAGAAAACAGGAATGCCATCTGGACAGCAAACCTTTGCCATTGACCCTCACATTGAGTCGATACAGCGCCAGGGATTGGTGAACAATGTGCTTTTGCCGTGAAGGCATTTTATAAAAACAACAGCTATGTGGCCACACAGCATGTAGTTCATGCTCATTACAATCTTGCAAGTCATGCCCCAGTCCGGTTGTCGCATGCTAGCAAATTGTAGGTGCAGAATTTTGAGGAACATGTGATATGGTGGAGAGGGGTGGAAGTGCAAAACGTGTATGCACACCACATAATGTTGCAATAGTTTTCAGCTGAAGTCCCATGCATTCTGCACGTAAGCATGCACTGCAACTTGGCATACCGGATTGCAGTGTACAGTGAATATTGCACAAGGAACTGTAATATCACCCATACAAAATGCAGATAATGCAAAAACTGAATGCAGATGACCTCAGAAAGAGACTATGCATTTCTCGGGAATTGTTGGAACTCATGAATGACAACCCAGGCCTGTATGCTAATCTGATCATGAGTGATGACGCGAATTTTTATGTGCCAGGCTTTGCTAACAAGCAAAACTTTCGATACTAGTCACGTGAAAATCCTGAAATGCTTTATAAAGAGCCACTTTTCAGTCAGAAAGTGGTAATGTGGTGTATCATCCTTTGGAATCATTGAGACTTATTTTTTAAGACGATCATGGCAAGGTAGTTCCTGTGAATACATAATACAGCTTTCTGATCTTCCTGTAACTGCAAACACATTCTTCCAACAAGACGGGGCCACATGCCATACCTCGTGGATTTCTATTTTAGCACTATAAAACATCTTTCCTCATCTCATCTTGAGCGAGGATATTTCCTGGCCTCTAACATTTCAGCATGTGATTTCTTTTTTTAGGGTCATTTCAAATCCGAAATCTTCCGATATGACCCACCACATACCATCCTGGAACTGAAGGGGATAACTCAGGAGGAAGTTAATTGAATTAGAATGCCAGTCCTGCAAGATGTAATGTTTAACTTCTCTTAAAGACTTGGAATGTGTGTCAAAGAAAATGGGGGCCACCTATGTGATACTGTTTTCAAGTGAAGGACATTTTGTACCATGGCATTTCTTTGCAAGATGTAAGTTGTTCAGAAACATTCTTCACAAACTGCAAGCATTGTAACTTCATGTTGTATTTCTTTTATATTGCTGGTGGAGATCTCAGAATCGCACGTTTCACAGCCACACCTCTTACATACCACAATAAGAAGTGTATATAACTATTCTTCTGTGCTGATGCAATACAATCAATATTGAATATTTTATTAACTGCCATTATTGTGTGTTTAAAATAATTACAGCACTCCATATATTTAAAAAAAAAAAAATGCCTCAAAAAATCTTTTAAACAAGCTTATTGATAAAAGAAAAAGACAAATGTTAAAAACTCAGAGAGCAAAATATGATTTGAATAAATTTACAGAATTAAGAAGATTTGATACTTAGTGCAATCTAATTGGAAAATCGAATTTCAGTCAAACACTGAGCTCAATCAATCAAACACTGAGCTAATTTTCTAAAATAGGAATTCATCACAGCAATGCAGAGTTTCAGAACATTTTCAATCATGTTATTAAAATAAAAACTGAATTTAGATCCAATATGAACAGTTTGATCACACACTGGAAAACTTTTATTAGCATGAATAGGCCTATGTGGCAAATGCTACTAGCAAAATTATAATGCTTCTCTTTTAGAGAAAGTACAATTTTCTACTGCTATTAACAATTATATGAAAAACTAGTTAAACTACTTTAAAATCTTTCAAATTATAAAAATATTTTTAGTATATGTATAGTTTTGCACTACTTTCATATAAAATTTAGTGACTAGGACTTTTAAATATTAGTAAGACAGTATTTGTTGTTCGTTATTTAAAAAAAAAAAATCCTTTTTGTATGTTTTCACTGCTTAGGAATTATTTTTTTTACTGAAAATTTTTAACAAAAATCTCCTGATTTTTGAGTTTGACAGGTTAGCTTGTCAGTATAAGACATATATCCTTAAAGCCATGACAATATTTTTCTATTGTAAGTTCGGTCTACTTAAAAATACACTTAAGACCTTGAATCCCATTTAACTTCATAATTAAGCAACGCTTTTGCCAGGTCTGATTTTTCCCCCCACAAAGTACTGTATTTCCTGATGTTTAAGATGCAATTCTCTGTTTTTTCTTCTTTCTTTTTCTTTTCTTTTCTTTTTTTTTTTCCTTCTTTTTTTTGTGTGTGTGTCTAAAAACTGGGTATGTTTTATACAATGGTGGTGCTAGTGAAAACAGAAACGCCAATGAGTGTTGTTGCGAACAAAACCTAGGGTGAAAGATTGTCAATGATAGAAGGCCATGACCTTTGCTCACTTGTTTCTTAAAAAAAAAAAAAAAAAAAAAAAAATCTAAAATTACATTTGAGATTTACAATGATTTCCTCCCTCCTGTTCATTAGCGAATAAAGTGGTCTGAAGGTTTCAAATGACATTGTTTCAAGCTTCTAAGGAGCTTCCCCCCCCTTCCGAGTGTACTCTAAGTCACCTTTTAACCTAAAGATAAGGAACCATAAAAGAATCCTTTCAGGACAAGACTGTCTACAGTGAATTTGGAGAAACTGAACCTTAGACTATTATATACTTAAAGGGGTACACAGATGAGGTCCAGCTAATGGATGGGAGTTCTGACAGTGATGATGAATAAATGTTGATTTTAATAACTTTATGTAATACTTTCCACCTATTAAAATGAAATCTGGAAGGAAAATAGAAACTAAATTCTGTCAACCAAATAATTATTTGTTTTGTTTTCAATTTTCGGGCTTCAAAATCAAGATATGTCTTACACATGGAAGCATCTTATTTATACAAGGAGAAATATGGTGCATGTATAGTAAAGAGTCAATTTTCATTTAAGAAAAGAGAAACTCTAAAAAATGACAACATTCACATGTTATTGCATAATTCTGCAATTTGTATTAAATAAATATACAAATAAATAATAAAAAAAGACATAGTACACATTAAACGTTGTAATATATTCAAGATAAAGTTACCTGCTGCAATAAGTCTTTCACATGGCATTGTATCTCCTGAATAAACCAATTTCCATTTAGATGTCTTATGAGTCATGATTAAACCATATGCATCTGGACAGTGATCTACAAGAACTGTGGCTAACTCGAAGGAAGAATTTAACAACATTTATGTAAAAAATTCATACTTAAAAATATCACATACAATTCTAAATGAAAATATGGCTCTTACTGTAATGTTTTCAAAATTCTTTGAAGCAACTAATTCTTCAGCACCACACAGTATTTTTTCATTATGCTGCAATGAGGAGCACTTGATGAAACTGTTAAATGAAGAAAATTTATTTTATAATACACTTATCTGTTCAACAGAGTATCATTTAACATTTCCCAAGCAAAAATAAAAACAAACATGTACCTGTAAAGAGATGACACTTTCTCAAACATGTTATGGTAATTCTGCAACCAATAAAACAACATGGATGGGCCAATTAGTACTAGAGGCTCATATTCTCTGTTGAATTTCTTAAATGCTTCTGCACGGCACTTAAGTAACTGTATCAAACCCTAATATAATGAAGAATATTTCAGTAACCTCAAATTTATTTTTGAATTTGATTACGGTATAATTAACATGCATATAAAATGCTGTTATGTATTTTAAAAAGTAGCAAAGACAGAACTTCAGCAGAATGTATTCAAAGTGATATAAATATAAACCAATAAATAAAATACAATTTAATGCTGTAAAATACTAAATTTAAGAAAAACGTGAAGTAAACTTTAATATGAATCTGAATAAGACCCAACAATCATTAGTGGATACCATTCTAAGAAGCCTGAATTCAATGAAAACACAAATGAAAGCTGTAATTTTTAATTTGTTTATAGAACAATTGTAAAAACTTAAAAAATCAAACTTGAAGGCACATTTCATCATATTAGTATTACATTATAAAATAAAAAGGCTATTTTCCCATTACTAACATCACATCAGAAAAGTGTTAAAATATTTCAACAAATAAGTTTGTCATGTAACCATGGTTGAGCATTTAAAGTCTTCAAAATTGCACTTGGCTCTTCTTTTTTATATAACATTTAATATAGAACATGTAAAAAACATTTTATGATCTGGTATCAAAAACTTTCATCAGATTGTACTGTAAGCTGAAAACCATCACATAAGGCACTAAAAACATAGAAAGCATTAGTATACGGTCTACCAGAAAGCTCTGTCCGTTTTTGGAATAAAACAAAGCAAAAAATTTCTTACCGTCAATAAACTTTATTAAAATAATATAATTGCCATTATTATTAATGACTTCTTGCCAGTGTGAGGGCAATTTGTATATCCTATTTTTGAAAAATGATGTAACTTTTGATGCAAAAAATTGAGCTGGTGCTTGTTTGATATCTATTTAATTTTTGAATTTTTTGCCCTTCAAAAAATATTGTAAGGACAAAAACAAGTGATAGCCAGAGGGTGCTAAGTCCAGGGAATATCGTGTATGTGACAGAATTTCCCAGCCTAGTTCTGCAATTTTTTTATGAGTCCCCAAAGCAGCATTTGGCCTGGCATGATCATGATGCTGTACGATGTCCTTCCTGTTGAAAATCGCCGGCCTCTTTTCTTGGACTGTTGTCTTTAAATTGTCTGATTGCTGACAGTACTTCTCTGAATTGAGCTTTTTGTTTGGTTTTAAAAGCTCTTAATGTACTGGTCCTCGAATGCCTCACCATATACACAACATTCTCCTTATTCAGTGTCAAATTTGGTTTAGAGATGGGAGGGCTAGGTTTTTGGGTTCACAATATGCCCTTTCCCTTACGATGTTTCCGTGGGTGATCCCATTTTCATTCCCCAGTTATCATCCGGTTCAAGAATGGCTTCATTTTTTTGGAGCAAGCAGAGATGTACATATGACATCTCAATCATCCAAATTCTTCTAACTTAATTCATGTGGCACCCATTTTGAATATTTCCACACCATCTTATCTTTCGAATATGGTTCAAAATGGTTTGCTGAGCTGAATTAAGCCTTTCTGCGATCTCCGATGTTGTCAAAAGGATCTTGCTCCAACATGGTCGTAACAACACCGTCGCCAATCAAAGATGATGGCCCAGAACATGGCTTATCAGAAAGTTCGAAATCACCTGTTTCAAATTTTTCGAACCATCTTCTGCATGCCTTATCAGAAACTGTACCTTCACCAAAAACTTTCAATAAATTTCTATATGCTTCTGTAGCATTTCTTCCTTGTTGAAATTCACATAATACAGTGGCATAAATGAACTCTATCAGTGGCCATGGGTACACTATTGCTTCACATTTAAGACTAACGTGAATCAACTTTGTTTTAGCTGACTTGCTACATCAGTATGTATACATTAAGTGATAAAAATAGAGAGCCGAAAATACGGCAAATAAACATGTGCTTACATGCCAAAAATTGTTGTCATAAAACGGACATAACTTTCCAGTAGACTGAATATATTTACAATATTAATATTATATAGTAAGATAACATTATAAATTATTAAAAGCTTAAGCTTATCTGTAATGCTTCCAACTCATTAACTTAAAAAATAAAATTAACTTAGCATATGCTAAATAATGAACTAAATGGCAAATGAAATTGTTTGCCAACTGACATCAATACCTGAAAAGAATACTGAAAGCTTATCATTGAGGAAATAATTATTTTAGAAAAGGGATATTTGTTAAATGCAGTAACAAGAAATTATGACTGATTAGAAAACATGCAACTAGATTTAATAACTTTCAATACAATTTTGAAAGAAAATTACTTATCTAATGATTTATATTCATAGAGAAATGCATGACTCTGAATGTCGAGTCATCTTATGAGCTGTTTAGGATCTTCTTCTTGAGAAGTGTTTTTTGCTTTCAAAGTATAACAATAGAAGGTATCAAAAGTATTTAAAGGTATAAAACCAATTCTATAAAAAAAAATCTGATTTTTCAGTTAAAATTTATATCTGCAAAATATAGTCATTTGAATACCTGACGCAAATAAGAAAAACTGTCCACTTAACAAGAGATGGCTCAGTGGAGCACTTGATTACAACATATGGGAAAAAAATATCGCAAATTTTAGTTTGCAATAATGCAACCAAATAGCATAAATGGAAATTCATAACTTGAAGATGTAGTTTTGAAGCTGCACTGAGATTAAAGAATGTTCTGAAATGTTTTGGACCTCCAAAAGTACTAAAAAAATTTTTCTCCTCAGTAGACCATGTTTATCTAAATTTATTTTTTTATTGAGGGCCACAGCAATACTTTAATGCTTAGCCCAATTTCTTTATCAAAGAAAATTTTAGTATGTTCTAAATATATATGCATATACATGCACTTCAGACGCACTAAATTACAAATATTTACTTTTAACTTTGCTTAAATGGAAACGAAGAATCAAGAACCATTAGAATTTTGAAAACTGATTTCTATTTCTGAGCATTATTCCAGTATTTAAACCCTCCCAGTGTTATGGGCATAAAACTCCGTATCGATATGGGTTTTTCTTATTCATTACACATGAAAATTTCAGCCAGCTTTTAACGTTCAAGGATAAAAGGTTCTTTCATGTTCAATGTATATTGGAAGAAAATTACTCAACGTAAGTTGTCTTTTAACAATTTATTCATGACATTTTGGGGAACTTTGAAATTATAGGGCTAAACCTGTAATGCTCAGAGGGTTAAAAGAAATACAGTGGAACCTTGAGAAACGAGCACCTCTATATACGAGAAATTCGAGATACGAGGAAAGTATGAGCAAAAAATTTATTACTAAATATGAGCACTGACTCGAGAAATGAGCAATGAGAAAGGCTGTTAGTATGCGTTGTGCCATTTCCTGATCTGGCTCGACTCGGGGAATCCCCTTGTCAGATCAAATGTCAACGTATTTGTGCACTTTTGAGTTAATTGTTTATTACATTTAACGTGAAAATAATTATTTTACAATGCCTCCCAAGAAGATTTTTGCCTTAGATAGTGCTGCAAAGAAAAATAAGGAAGCCACGGCTGTTGAAATTAAGAAAGAAATCACAGATAAACGTAAGTGTGGTGTAAGAGTGAGGGAATTGGCGAAGACTTATGGCCTTTCGACATTTACGATCTGCATTATTCTGAAGAAGAAGGAAGAAATTAAGAGACTTGATGTAGGCAAAGAATTTACCATTATTTTCAAGAACCGTCCAAAACTTCTAGAAGTTGCTGTTGGTGTGGATTAACGAGAAGCAGTTAAGGTCGGTGTCGGAAGCTATCATAAAGGTAATCTACGGTTACACTATTTACCAGTGTTATTTATTATAAAAATTTATTTTTATGTTGATATTTTTTGGGGTGCAGACCGGATTACCTGGATTTCCATTATTTTCAATAGGAAAATTTGTTTCCAAATACGAGAAATTCACTACATGAGCTCAATAATGGAATGAATTTAATTCGCATCTTGAGGTTCCACTGTAACTATACACTTGATTCAATGAAATGCTAAAGCAAGAAATTTAATACAGCAGATTGATACATGGGTAATAACAGAAAGTATCAACTGTTTATTGTTCACATTTACACTATAAAGTATGATATGCGTTACAGTGAAAATTCAATGAAAACTGGAAGAAAAATAAAAAAAAAATATTTTAATATTAAACTTTAATGCAATTATACATAAATAAAACACATTTAATGTAAAAGTATACACACAGTCTTAGAAAATATTCATGTATATTATAAAGTAACATGTTAAAATGTAATAATGGGTAATGCCAAACATTAGGACAGTAAACTTGAAATTAGAATAAAAAACATAAAAAAAAAAAAAAAAAAAAAAAAGCCTTGCTTATTCCGTAATAACAATTTTACTAACCAGTGATATTAAGAAAAATATTTAACAGTAAATGATACACCACACATAATCCATAAAATGCCAATAAGTAACATAAGGTACAAGAGGGTAATTTCTGATTATTTGCACCCCCTCCACAAAGTTGAAAAAAGTACTGGTGAGGCAATGCACCACATTGCCGAAAAGTATTTATGCGGCAACCCTTGATATCGCTGAAAAGTATATACGTGGCAACCCATGTATGCATGTCATATACATGTATCTGAATATGCGTGGATTTACATTTTTGAAATTCAGCAATCTTTTTGCATTGAATACATTTGTTTTTATCACAACAAATCGCAATAAGATATGAAGTTTGTCACTGATAAAAAAGAAAGTGTTGCATTTCTTCATAAATATGGCTTTTGCCCAACAATAAAGAATGTACAAATTGCATTCTATGAAACAGTACTTCTTAAATAATTGAATTTTAAGGAAATGCAATGTAAATTTAAAGAATTATTAAGGTTATTTTAAGGAAATGCAATGCAAATAAAAACTGAAAGCAAAGTGTCTGAATGCATGTTGGAAACTGGTCTGAAAATAGCTATGTCTCATTTACAACAGCAGTTTGCTTTATTTATTGTCTGACATTTGTTAGTGAAATTCTGCAAAGTAGAACTCAGACTATCCCGAAACACAGATACTGATAGGTGTGAGCATACGGGTGTAAGAAATATATGCATTTCTGTAAAAGAAGAACATAAAACATATGCAGTATTGGATGCATCTTTGAAATCAACATAAGGATACCCAAACAAGCATTTCTCTCTAAATTTGGCAACAAGTTCCCAACTTTTCAATAGGAGTGTGGATAATCAGAAAGGTATTGTACAAGCATATAAGAGGTGTTAATTTGTAACTCAATTCTGTAGTAAAATATATTGCTAATTATACACCATTAATTATTTACCCTTCCCCTTAAGTAATCAAAATTTCATCACACAGCTGACTGCAAATTCTTTGCACTTTATAACAGTTCAGTTCATAAGATAAAATCTGTAGCACGTTTTCGGCACTATTTTGTTTGAGACTGAAATATATTTTTCTTTGATATAGAAAAGAGCCAGTCATAATAACGACTCTTTTTTTTATAAGAAAAACATTTTGTTTTGCAGTTCATCTAAGCTTCATCAACTTACATTTAATACACTCACTTCCATTTTAAAAAGTTCAAGCACATTTTAACATAATTTTTTATTTCAATTTGGTACAAGTTTACCACAATTACTATTATCATCATCACTATTTTATTATATGTTCACTTTTCAACAAATTAAGCTCGACAATTTTTTTATTAAATTACAAAGAAATTTAAATTCTCTTGAGTACTTTTCTGTTAATGGGGCACTACTTAGTGCCAAACATAAATTCTGGTAAAAAATATGTGGCAGTAATCCTAACAATACATAAGGCTCCAAGGCAGGATGATTATTTTACTAAATCCAGAATAAAGAGAAAAATTGAGACAAATACAAAATACATTTTGCCATATTAATTTCAGATCACACTGGGAAAACAAAATTGCCCATTTCATTCAACATTGCCAAAAATATTTGCACAATTACAGCCGCATGAATTTGATAAAGTGGGAATCCAGATGGTGATGACCAGTGACACACCAATGATTTATTTCACCATTTTACTCATAGCATCCTGCATCAGGATCTGTAATGTTGTATTTGGGGCTAAACTGAAGTTGTTCATATCTGACAACAACTAATTCATCCCTAAAAAAACTATGAGAAAAATTTCCTGAACTGATATTAATTTTCCCCACTTATTCGCAATAATGTCACTGTATACATATTCATAAAATGATATAAACACGTTACCACATTTACGAATTAGCACCCTGTTAACAGAGAAGTACTTTCTACTGATTAGAAAATCAATACAAACTAAACAATTCAAAAACTTCTAATTTAAATTTTATAATGACATTGCTGAAACCTAAAGCTTACCAAATGATGATCAGCATGGATGTGTGAAACGAAAATACAAAATATATCTCTCAACACATTAGAATAAGCATCACCAAACAATCTTACGATTTGGCCTTGAGTTCCTTCTCCACAATCCATTAATAGGTATTTATTTGCACTGAAATTATGAAATAAACCCTTTAATAACTAAATATACACATAAATAAATCATTAAAATATATCACACATATATCAATAATGATGACATCCATTTCAGTATTACAAATGATGAATGAATGTAACAGGTAATAATCTTATTTTATGAAGTACATTAAAATTACAATGCATTACATTCAATATATTTTTAACAGTATGTGATATAACAGTGATGTTCAAAACAGATATTCTGTAAATTTTTCCTCCGCAAGAAAGTAAAGTAAAAACATGTGAGATATGAACAAAACAAAACACAGAGTAGATTAGATTATTTAATCATAGGGCTATCTGTCTATAGGGTGCAGGATTTTCTTCAAAGAAACTGTTTTATACGTAATATTACTAAAGTGACTATCTTTCCATCACCAAAAAAGAAGATTTAATTATGGTAAATTTTCAGTCATTTTTTAGAGGATATGGCTCTAATTAATAAATGCTGGTTTGGAATAGACAAGATTAACTCTTTGAAAACCAAAACGGCCCAGACAGCCTTTCATTCAGACGACCACAACTGCCTTAAATTCCGATATTTTTCGTTTTTTCCCCTCCCCTAAGGTAAGTAAACTGCATCTGCAGTTTTCCCAAGCGTATTGTATCAGTTTAATGCAGACAGCTTGCACTAAAAAGGATTTATTTATAATTTCTTATCCTTATTTGTTAGAAGTAGAAAGGATGTCATTTGAAATCTTCACTCTTCTTTGTGTGCTAATCGATGGGGTGGGAAGGAAATTGCTGTGACTCTCGAAAATCATTTCTGAGGGTTCGGTATTTTAACATACAGGTTAACAAAGGCTTTGGTTTTCAAAGAGTTAAGGAAAATAAAAATGGAAATGAAACTGCAGAATATAAATATTAGTTAAATCATAATGCAGAATAAAGTTAATTTACGAATTTGCACATTGATTAGTTTTAATTTATTCACATTTATCAATTGGTAACACAAAATATAAATTTTTTAAAATTTTTGTTCAAACTGTAAAAATACTTTAATCATTATTCATGACTTTAGTTTGGCACTTTTTTTTTTTTTTTTTTTTCAGTCCAAAGGGGCTTTGTCCCTGAAGAACTATCGTTTTCGTTTTGTGATTTTGCATTGAAAACTTTAAAAGGTTGTATCATTTTTCAAATCATCATCACCAAATACTATCGCCCTGTATTATATTTGAAGAAATTAAATAGTGAAGAATTTGCATAAATGTATGTATGTTTCTCGCATTGTGATAAAACAACGATACCTAAAGCCATCCAATTTTGAATAATGTAATCTTACAGCGAATAACGAATTTTTGATTAACAAACTCAACAATTTAAAAGTGAGGCAATGGCAACATTGCTGTTGAATGGAAATTTATGGTTTAAGTGCAAAGAACATAATATTTTAAAAATAAAGGCAACACACAAGATATTAAAAAAAAGGCCGCTTTGGACATAATTTAAAATCTGAAACCTTTCAGTTTTTTGGGGGAGGGGGGCTCATTTAATGCTCCCTGAGAAAATTCTTTGACAGCAGGAAATTAAGCAATAATGTAAATTTTAATCAAATAGCCAAAAAATTTCAGAAAAGGGGTTCTTGCAATCATTACAATGAACATGCAATTCAGCAAAAAGGTCATGCATATGCAAATGGCAGGAACATAACATCACAGGCGACATGAGTGTATACAAAACGTATGTGGTTGGCACGCTCAACTCAAGGCTACAATAAAGGGAAGGATGGAGATGCAATTAAAGACATTCACTGCAAGTAAAGTCTTTCGTGAAATATGGCAGAAGAAATCACCTGGATGACTTCACACGTGAGAGAATGATCGGATACCTAGAGGAGGGGCGTAGTGTGACCAGTGTAGGTGAAGAGTTCAGAATCAACAAAAGTGACATTTCACGTGCTTGGAAAGCCTTCCAAACTATAGGTACAGCTGTTAGAAAGGTTGGTGGTGGCTGCTAAACAAAGACTTGGATTACCGATATATCATCCTGTAGGCAAAAAGAGTCTGAAACCAGTTAGCAAATGTAATAACTCAGCAACTGTGCACAGCAACGGAGCAAAACGTGTTGCAGTTTACTGTATCCAGATGCCTTTAGAAAGGTGGCCTGTTTGCCCGCCATCCTGAATGCTGCATCCCTTTGAAAATTGGCCATTGGCGCCACTGTTTAGTGGTGCAAGGAGCACAAAAACTGGACCGCTCACCAAGGGAGTTGTGTTCTCTTTACGAATGAGAATCTTTTTAGTGCCACAAGCGATTTTCAACACCAGTTGATTTGGAGAGAGGTCAAGACATGGTTTTATCCCAGTAACATCATGGAAAGAGACTGTTAAGGTGGTCTTGGAGTTCTCGTCTGGGCAGGCATTATGCTGAATGGGTGGACAGAGCTCCATATTTTTGACATAAGTTCTGTAACCGGGAAAATCGCTATTGTTAGGAGGTGATTCTTCCCCATGTGCATATGTTCCAAGGTGCCACTAGAGCAGACTTCGTTTTTATGGATGACAATGCATGGCCACACTGGACTCCTGCTGTTCAGAAGCTACTGGAAAGTGAAGATATCACTCGAATGGATTGGATAGTGTATTCCCCCGACTTAAATCCCATAGAACATGTGTGGAATGATTTCGGGAGATGCCTTGCGGTACGATTACATCCTCCCGGGGAACATCCAACAACTGAAACAGATGTTGATTGAGGAATGGGTACTCTTACCTCAAGATCTGTAAGACAATCTGGTGCTGTAAGATCTCAAGGTCTTACATTATGCTATTGTAAGATCTCAAGATCTGTAAGACAATCTAGTGCTGAGTATGGAGAGATGGTTCTTGTACAGACAATCATGTGTAACAATACTATGAGTTTAAAAAAGGCTTTTTTTGGTTGTTTGATTCCATACTATATGCATTGTATTCATTTTTGCGCAACAATTCTTTCATCATTGTTTAAATAGAAAATGATATCTCTCCTTTCTGTATTTCATGTCTCTCAGATGATTTCTTGTGGAGTTATGGCGAAAATGAACACATATTGCTTAAATTTTGCACACCAGTGTACATCACAACCAAATGGATTATTTCTTTGAAACATGTAACTGAAGCATCAAATGCAATGAAAAAATTTTACTTGATTTAGAATACTTTTTAACACATTAATGAAGACTAGTACATTATTTGGTGTCAGGATAGTTTTCAAAATGGTTTCCAATGATAGTTAAACCTTAAAGCATCATTTTGGCAAAACTGAAATCATAAAAAAATATCCTTTAGTCATTTTTTGATGCAGTCCATATTGCTGTAGCTGATACAGTGCATTCTGTTTAAAAGCATTCAAGAGCACAAATAACAACATACAACATATAAAAGTAAGATTCTTAAAGCAAATGTAGAAAATGATAACCTTGCTCTTGAACACACATGCTAACATGTTTTTCCACATTTCTTGCAACATTATGGAGGACATCTAATTTCGAAAGTGATGTTGTGCCTCAGTTCTAAGGTGTGTGGATTTTGCCTGTATACTTTTTGCTTCAAAAGTTCCCACAAGTAGTAGTCCAGACTTCAGAACTCGAAAGATCTGGGGATATGGTGGGCCACAGTCCCTTTGAAACACTCCTGTGTCCAAATCTCTTAATATAGACATAGTCTCATGGACAGTTTGTCGGGATAATTTTAATATGTCCTGCTGAAACCAGCACTCACATTCCACTGGTTTCATGATTGCAATAAACTGCCTTATAATGTTTTCATAAGTTTCACTATGTATCATGTATTACCCCTTGAGGACCAGTGCATGTAAAACAAAGTGCAGCAACAGAACTGTCCCCCCCCAAATGGAACATCACCACCAGTCCACACATTTTCAACAGCTAAGCCTACTTTTACAAAATAAATATATATATATATATATAATCAGGATTTTAATATAATGACGTCAATTTCAGATGTACATAATATACTAATTCTTAATATGTGTTAATACAAAGAATATTACAACAATAGAATAAATGAAACATGCCAAATAGTAAAATTATAACTATACACATAAAAACAAAATTACAAATAGAAAATGTAAAAAAAATTAAGCAATAATTATCTGTAGTTAATTTAATTTTAATTTAGTAATTTTGCTAAGTGTGGAATGATTCAAAACAAAGAATAGGATAATGACGGCTTTTTTCAACGAGCAAGTAAGATCATCACACATTGTGAAAGCTGATGTCTTTCCACTTCAATGCTTTAAAGTTACTTTTTAATTAACCAAAAAGTTTATGTTAAGTTTTAAAATAAATGTTAACAAAACAAAAAATAAATAAATAAATGAAAACATTGAGCTGGATGCACTTCTGCAAATTTTAATAATGAAAAATGCAAAGAACAGAAATAAAGACAAAAAAAAAAAAAAAAAAAAAAAAAAAAAAAAAAAAAAAAAAACATGCCAGTGTCCAGTTTACAATTTAAGTTTAAGTTACAATTTAAATAGCACAACTCAAATTAAAAATGCAATATACAATTTAAAAGAATACACACCTTATGTTTACTAATATAGCAGAAACATTTCTAACTTTGCTTGGTATAGAAGAACCTGTACCCAAAAATATTACTGTAGGATACTTATCATCTGGAAGAAGGGGAAAACTAATTACATAAATGTATTTTACAAACAATATAATTTCTTTATGTGTTACAATTTAAGAAACAGAAATAATAACATGCCTGAATTGTAAGTTTTCACAGAATTTTCTCTTATCTGACTTTGAAGATTTTTCAGACTCTCATTGAAACCTTCTGCATTCGTGGCCTCCTCAATAAACATTTTAGGATCAACAGCAACAGCTAAACTTCTGAGATAAGTTCCATAAAAATAAAAGGAAACATTGTTTATAAAGTAAGAGTAACAAAAAGCATATAAAGGAAGTCATTTCTTTCCATTTCAGAATCTGCCTTTTTTAAAGCAAATAATTATGTACCTCTAAAATATACTGAATTCGCCACCCTGAAATCCGCGTTGCCTCTCGGAATATAAACATTCAGTTTATAGGTTCCGGAAACTGCAACATTGAGTACAAAATATCGAAGAAAAAATACTTACCGAATAATGACATCATAATTACCGAATAATAATGAGTCAAAACAGAAATACCAAATTATTGATATAAAAAAGTTAAAATAAATAAGATAAGTCCCCCCCCCCTCTAATCTGCAACGAGGTAAAAAAGCAGACGATTCACTCAACACTTTGTTCAAGTTCACGATTCACGCTGTTGTATTTCCTGAGCTTTGTTATTTCATTTCACAAGATTGTTTAATGCTAGCTTTTTTTTATCCGGATATTTTGTGGATAAATTAAGAATATTTTTAATTTCAGCCCTTCTTAATACGACAGATAAGAAACGCACTCGTGATTTTACCGCTTGCAACGTTGGAAAACGTGAACACGTTGCATTGACGGTAATGCAAAAAGTGCAAATTCTGCAAAAGATGGAAGCTAGTGCTACTCCTCGATTTATAGCAGAATGGTATGGAATTGCTACATGATTGTGTATGATATACCGAAAAATAAAGAAAAGCTGTTGAAATATTACAGCAACAGTGATTCTAACACCGGAAATCTTTGTATGAGGCGAAATCGGCAAACCTCGATGCTGCGTACATATAATACAATGAATAATACAATCAATTTATATATGTAATAATAATTGAATGCATATAATAAATTATTGCAATAATGTATATAATAATTTAATTAAATGTATCTAATACTCCTTATTCATTTTGCACTTTTAGTCCGAATATTATGCTTTACCTTTTCTGTCTAAAATCCGCACAACCTCTGGTCCCAAGCTTTGCGGATTTCTGGAATTTTACTGTAATTACACATTACAATAACAGGCAAAGCATATTAGTAATAAAATGTAATAACTCTTAGAACATAAAAATCTAGCACACTCACGAATCAAAGCCTTTTGCAGGACGTAAATAGTAACGATCAAGTGTATTTGCTTGAACAATATTCAAATCTTCCAATCCATTAAAAGTTTTCATCTGCAATGAATCAAAATATAACACCCACAAGATACAGATAGAAAATATAACACCCAAATATAGATATGCATATCAATAGAAGAAATGCTTTAATGAATTCTGTGCAAATACATTAGTAATTTCAATGTAGATAGATAAAATTAAAATAAAAAAATAATAATACCAACCTCACTTTCCTGCAACAAGCTAAAAATATCTGGATGAAGAAGATTTAGTTTATGTTGAATTCGATGAATGGCAGCACTGTTTAAAGTTGAATTGTCACTGTTTATTATTAGATGGCATGTTGATTTTGGAAACCTGCAAGAATAAACATATAATAAAGATTCAAATTCTATTCTTTAAATAATGAAGAATTTGTATGTATGTTCCCCATATTATTTAAAAATGGTGGCACCAAAAGCCATAACAGACAAAACGTAAAAAAAGGGGGGGGCCCTTTGGGCATAATATAAAATCTGAATGCTTTCAGAATTATTTTTATTATTATCAATTATTTTAAGCAGCTGGCCATTCAGGTAGGGTAGTATACTTAAAATAAAACAAATTTCTATTGTATTCCAAACTGATTTGTCTTTGAAGGTGAAAATATTTCAAACCAATTACATTAAAAATGTCAAAAAATATGCTACTGTTTACAAGTTCAAAATCTAAATTTCCCATAATAATTGAATTTTAATATCTCCATATGAAGCCTTTTCATCACTCTCTAAATACTGCACCTAATAAAGTTGAATATAAATAAGATTTGAGGTTATTGACAAGCCACTGGATTTTATAATTAAAATTTTTCATATCCTTTTGTGAATAGCTGTCAGCCTCTATTTACATATACACTTTCCATAATATAATGTTAGGCACCCATATTTTATTATTTCCATTCCAAATTTTAGTAAACTTTTATATATAGTTTTCGGTTTTGCAAAGTTCTCAGGCGACATGTTAATTAACCGTATTTTAAGACCTTCGCTAAAATGAAAATTTTGCAAATTTTTTCATTAGAGCATTTAATTTGCAGAAATTCTCGGTACTTTTCTGTTTTGCCGGTGCAAATCTCGCCAAGCAGACTTTATTGGTGACAACACATAACAGACATATATAAAATGTTAACAAATGTTGGTTCTAGGAATTTTTTTATTTTGAGGGCATAAACATTTTAATATTGTTTACATTTTATAAAAAGCCAATAAATATGTAAAAAGTCATTAATTTAAGAATTTATTACGTTTTCATAGTACAACATCCTGATTCATGTGACCCCAAGTGATCTCATCTCACGTAAACTACGCTACAAAAATCTAATTCTCTCAGTAATTATCTTCATTAATTTCAATTTAAATCTTAATTTGGAATAAAAGTTTAAATGCAAGAATTATTTCAATTTGTATGAATAGCTTACTCAGAAATTATATAAAACACCAGTGCTTTACTTCGCTAGTGCATTCTCATTAGAATTGATGAATTTAACACTTGACTTTCCCTTTTCTATATTTTCGAATTCAGGTGAGCGGTGTTATTGCATCCTAATCGACTTAATTACAGCGAATGGCCTTAGGGCATTAAACTGAACTATATGGTAAAAATTCTATGTAATTTTATGCCAATATTGAAACAAACAATCTGATAAGAAATGACTGTGACCTGTTTTGAAAATGAGTCGTAAAAGGTTACCAGCGAGGATATTAAGTTTGGTAATAATTGTACCATTATTGGTGACTTAATCGCCTGCGCCGGCGAAATGGAAAAGTACCAAATTCTCTTAGCTGGAGGATTTGTACACTTTTTTAATTTTTGCATTATTAGAAATTCTTTCAAAATATAAGAAGGAGAGAGAAGTTCTGCATCATTTACATCTTAGTTAATTTAAACTTTTCTGCTATCATCTTTAAGCTTTTAGCCTTTCAAAAATACATATTATTTATATATTTTATTACAGATCATAACCTTTTTTTAATTTTGTTAAATATATTATTTTATTTTTTCTTGTATTTTGTTGCAAACATAAGCAAAATACTATATATATAATATGCATAACCTATGAACTGTATCATTAAAAGAATTTTCCTGTGGTCACTACATAAGGAAATACTTCAAAGAAAATACACTATTTTTTCTAAAGCATTATTATAGATATAATTTTTATATTTACCTGCTCCTAAATTCTCTAAAGTTTCTTTTATAATGAAATATTGGAGAAAATAAACTTTCGATACAATTTAAATTTATAGATTGCTTGTTTATTTGACAATTTCAAAATACATTTTCTTGTTAAAAATATTACTGCATTTTTTATTTATTTAGTTAGTTTTTAAAATCAAGACATCAGAAATTAAAGGTTTATGAAATCAAGAAAATCTTCAATCTGGTAAATGGACATTTTACAAGTGAAAATACCTTCTTCTTTTGCTTTTTAGACCATCAGCCAGAAATAAATTAATTCCTTCTGTCTAATAAAATTTTTTTAGAATAAGAAACTAGTCTCTGATGACAGCTTTAACTAACAGTAAGATTACCTCGCCAACTTTACCTTAGGCTACCCTAAGCCTTTTAGGGTACCATATCTCAAATATAGTTAACAAGTCACCAACTGCTCCTTTTTCTCACACTAAATATGACAATCCTGTTGAATTCCATCGCTGAGTACATTTACAGTTCCAGCCATTTCATTTCAAATTTTGCAAACAAGTAAGTTAATTTTAATTTCCTTTCTGGCACTGAACTGTACATAAATCACTACTTTTGATTTAACATAATAATATAAAAAAATGTATAAATTTATATTAATTTAAAAGCTTTACTTTGATTTCGTGTTTGGATTTAAAAGAATGTATTAATTGGTATTAAATAACTACATTTTAAACTAAAATCATTTATTAATTTGAGCATTTTTCTATTGTTTTCTAATACCTTCTTTTGCATATATTAAATTTGTACAGGTTTTAATAGTTTTTTATTGTTTTTACAGTACTGTGAGAGTGTCGGGGAAAATTTTTCTAAAGTGAGGATCTTATTTTACTAATTTAATTCTGCTCTTAAAGAGTACCTTAAATTAAGAATTTCTTATTTAGTTTTTTTTTTTTTTTTTTTTTTTTTTTTCTTTTGGCAAGAATTATTCACTTAGTGAACTTCTTAATATATGGCAACCTATTTTCCTTTCTCTTCCATTGTGCAAGAGCAGGGAAAAAGTAACATTTTACCTTTTTACATTGTGCATGAGTGGGGAAAAAAGTCACATCGTTCCTCCTTTCATGTAATTTTAACAAAGTGCCTAAACCTTATTTGATGTTATTATTGCTTTCAAGATATATGCCGAATTTTAAAATGTACCAATATATAAATTTACGTATATCTTTGGAAATTTTGAATAAAAAACTCTTAATTTTTTGCAGGTATGCTTAGAAATA